TTTTAATTAAGATCCCATATGCCACTACATAAATTATGATGATTACTCTGAGAAGCACCCTGGTTATGTAGCATTTGAAGTAAATTAACTCTTCTGTGCAGTATTTTCCTACAACCATTGCTGTACTCTGCCGAAACATAAAATGCTATGAGAAAGTGATGCTGCTATTTCTATAGTAAACTGCAAGAAATACAGAACTTGGAGGGATGTATGTACAAAGTTTTAAAATGTCAACTTTTAGGCCAGAAACAAAAAATAAGAAAGGGTTCTTAAGAATTCTTTGTTAATTACCTTGTTAGTTATTAAGACACTGTGGGATTTAGAGATTGACATGTTAGGTTGTCACTGTTGCCTCCATGGCACATTTTATACTAATTCACAAGTTGTATTTTTGTAGTTTTTAAGTTGCTTTTTCCTGTTCTTGAAAATCTTGAAAATATTTTAATTTTAAAATCCACTCTACCTCTTTTTTAAAAACAGAATAATCTCATCAATAGTTTTCACTTTTTCTATAATCCTAAATCTGAGGTTTGTTGCAGGATGATACTCCAAGAAATGACTCGCTGAGGGGGCACCTGTTTTATTGTTTCTTATATAACACAAGTGTTCTCCTAGGCATTTCTTGAGAGGTTTGGTTGTTTTTCCCACTTAAGTCTTTAGTCACTTTAGTTACGGTACCTCCCATTATTCCTCTTCATTGGAACTGTTTGAAATTATGCCTTCAGTATCTCATTTTTAAGAAACTGCAATCCAACATGAGCTCCCTTTTCTTTTAGTATTTCTGAACACAGGATCATATCCAGTATTTCCTTTGTTTAGAAGTCTAGATTTCTGTACTTTTCTTAAAGTCTAGCATGTGTTTCTGACTATGCTTGGCTTTCCCTTTCCACTGTATAACAAGCTCTAGGAGAACATGGTGACTTCTACCTAAGGATTCTGCCACTTCCACCCCATTAACCAGGCCATCACTGTTGGCTAGCATCAGATCTAAAATAGCTGATCCTCTTCCACCTTCTGAACGGTGAAATTGTCTGCAAGGGCAAGTGAGGAATTTTCTGGGCCTTAAACTTTGGCAGAGTTTGATTTCCAACAAACATCAGGATAGTTGAATCCTCCCATTCCTACTACATCTTTCCTTTTTTAATGTGTGATCATCTGCTGCAGGAAAGCATCATCCAAGTCCTCAGTCTAGCATGATGATCTGTAGTACACATCACCCCCACCTCCCTGCTGTTTCTCTCCCCCTTAATTTTTACCCAGATGCTCTCAACATGGCTTCCAGGATTTAAATCATGGATTTATTCTCTGTTATACATATCCTTAATATATAATGCAATCCTACCTCCTTTCCTGTTTGGTCTATTTCTCTGAAATAGGTTATCCCCCTCCATTACTACATTCCAATCATGAGACAATTCCCACCAGATTTCGGTGATACCTATTATATTATATTTGCTTCACTTTCTTAAGAGCTCAAGTTCGTCTTGTTTATTTCCCATGCTCTGTGCATTAGTTTTTTTTTCCTCCCACTGCTGGATTCTTGTACTATTCACTCAGTTCTCTCTATTGGGATATTATTTTCAGCACTTGATTTACTCCTGCCCTCAACAATTCTGTTTCCCTCCCCCAGATAATTCAGTTTAAAGCCCTCTTGATCAGGTTTGTGAGACTCTTTGCAAAAATGTTCCTGCCAATTCCTGTTGGCATTACTTCTCCAAAGTCCATCTTCATGAAACCACAGACCATGGCCCAAGAAGCTAAATCATTCCTGGTGATTCATCTGCAGAGGCAGTTGTTCACCTCCACTATTCATCTTTCCCTTCTTGGACTGTGCCTGTCATCTGGAAGGAAAGATGAAATGACAACTTGTGCATCAAGGTCCTTCAGCTTCCTATTCAGAGCCTTGTAATCCCTTGAGATATCATGAAGGCTATGACTTGCAGTGTAATTGGTTCCCAGGTGGACCAAAAAGAAGGAATATAGGGCCTCGGCAGACGGAGGCCCTGGAGCCGCCGCCGGACGGAGCGCCGGCGGAGCGGAGCCTCCGCACCGCGGCGCACCGTCGGCGCATCTAAAAGGAGCACCAAATTGGCGCTCCTTTTAGATCTAAGGGAAAGTGCGCCCCAAAAGCGGCGGGTGCACTTTCCCCGGCTCAAACGGCGCAGCGCATGTGGGCGCTGCGCCGTGAGGTCATCCCCGGTGCGCCGGCCGTGCGGACGGCCGGCGCTTCTGGGGGCGACCTCGGGGAGAGGAAGGGGCGCCGCTCGTGCGGCTGCCCCTCCTCTTCCCTGCCCGGAAGACGACTTTATTAGTCGTCTGCCGAGGCAGATAGTAAGAAATATATTATTCAGCTTGCTCACATGTTTAGCACCAAACACAATTTAAAGACCTCCCTGTAATTGGGACAAGAGCCTGGGAAAATACTTTTTTCTGGACTACATGCTGGTTGAGGGTTTCTGGGAGCTGGAGTCCAGAACAAATATCCCCCCCCC